GACTGCAGGGGCAGGCATCCGCAGGAGGACCTGGCACTGGGCGTTCTACCCCATCAGTCCTCACCTTCGCCTGTGGGACAGTTGTCCTGTCAGGCCCAGGTGGCGCCCAGTGGGTACGCAAGATGGGCAGAGGGCCTGAGTGGGCGGGCCTCTGTCCCTGCACAAGGAAGGGCCCCCCACTCTTCTGCTTGTCTCCACAGCCTGCTCTCTGGGCCTGCACACAGCTGCCATCCGAGTGCATCTGCCTTGGTCCCAGTCAGCAGATATTCCTGTGCTCTCTTCGACAGCACATATACCATTTACAGGCCATCAAAATATACGAACCAGAAGCTGACCAGATGAAGGAAGGAACAGCAGTTCCACAGTAACAGATTTCAGCACTATCTCTTGAATAATGGACGGAACAATCAGCCAGAAGACGAGTAAGGACACAGAGGGCATAAACAGCACAGTGAGCTAATGAGATCTGCAGACCCAAGCAGCTCAAACCCAGCCCCTTCCCTAGCACCATGCGTTTTTCAGTCAGAACCTGTGTTAGGAAAGGGGTTGAGTCTCAGTACATCTCACAAAGTAGGTGCATGCAGTGTCTTCTACAAGGGGATGAAGTTATTAAGAGTCAACACAGAAGTGAAGCTGGGAAACTCACAAATTTGTGGAAATTAAACTACACTTATACAACCAGTGGATCAGAGAAGAAATCACAGAAAAAGGAGAAAATACCTGGGAATGAAAGGAAATGAAAATACAGCTACCAGAATTTATAGTCAAAGAAGGGCAAAGGGAGAAACTTACAACTATAAACACTTGCATTAAAAAATAACAAAGAGGGGGGACTGGGGATTTAGCTCAGTGGTTCTGGTGCCTGCCTTGCAAGCTCAAGGTCCCGAGTTCGATCCCTGGTACCAAAAAAAAAAAAGATTTGGGCTGGAGATTTAGCTCAGTGGTTCCGCTGCCTGGCTTGCAAGCCCAAGGTCCTGAGTTCAATCCCTGATACCAAAAAAAACAAAAATAAAGAGGGCTGGGGCTAAATTTAGCTCAATGGTTCCACTGCTTGCCTCTCAAGTGCAAGGTCGCGAGTTTGATCTCCATCTCCGGTACCAAGGAAAAAACAAAAACAAAAACAAAGATTTACAATCAGCACCTAACCTTACAACTTAAGGAATTATTAAAGGAAGAACTAACCCGAAAGCTAACAGAAGGCAAGACACTAAAGATTAGGACAGAGATCAGTGAAATAGAGAAAAACAAGACAAAGGCAAAGGAACCAAAGCTGGTTCTTTGGGGAAAAAAAAAAAAAAAAAAAAAATCAACAAAATTGACAACTTGCCTACCAAGAGAGGAGACTCAAATTATAAAATCAGTGATGAAAGTGGGGCATTGTTACTGATTCTACACGAATGAAAAAGATCAAAGAGAACTGTGACAACTGTATGACAATTAATTGGATAATCTCAGTGAAAGTGACAAATTCATAGAAACACAAAACCTGCCAAGACTAAATGATGAAGAATAGAAAATCTGAACAAGACTGTAACTAACATGGAGGTTGAGTCCGTGACAAAAAGTCTCCCCATCAAAGAAATTCCTTGTGTGGGTGTGGTGGAACACACCTGTAATCTCAGCACTTGGAAGGCTGAGGCAAGAGGATTGCCAGGAGTTGGAGAGGCCAGCCTAGAATGAATATACAGCTAGAACCTGTCTCAAAAAACCAAAAAAATTAAAATTAAAAAAAAGAAAAGAAAGAAAATTCCCTAGGCCAGATGGCCTCACTGCTTCACTGCTGAATTCCACCACACATTTAAAGAAGTAGTACTACTACTCAAATTTTTCCAAATTGAAGGAATACTTATTTTATGAGGCCAGAATTACCCTTATACTAAAGCCAGACAAAGACACTACAAGAAAAGAAAACCACAGAACAGTATTCCTCATGAATACAGATGCAAAAGTCTTCAATGAAACACTAATAAACCAAATCACACAGCATATGAGGGTTATACAGCATGCATGACCAAGAGTGACTGGTGTTTGGAATGGTGAGATGGGTCAGTCAGCATAAGGAGACAGGTCAGTGTAACCCATTACATTGATTAAATGAGGAAATAACTCATAGTCATCTTAATTGATGCAGAAAAAAGCATTTAACAAAATTTATACTTTCAAAATAATGACAGCACTCTTGGCAAACTAGGAATAGGAGAAAACCAAAATAAAAAGTATGATCAGAAAATTAAAAAAAAACAAAATAGCATCTATTAAAAAGAAAAGAATAGAGCATGAATCAAAGTGAGGTAAAACTATCTTTTGATACATAGCTACTAAAACTATAAACCGACACACAATGTCAAAATAATTTTCTAAAGTATTCATCAGGAGCATAAAGGTATTCATGGCTTTGACTCAGATAAAGATGTTTCTCATGTCTTGCTTTATAATTTAAATAAAAAATAATTTAAATACTCAACAAAGAAAATTGAATACAGCTAATAAAAATAACATCTCCACACAAACAACCAGGAAATAAGGTACACACATAACATGACTAATTTAAACAAATACGTGCACGGAGAAAAATAGTGGAAGAAAATATACCAAAATATTTGTACTGGGTTAGTTCTGAGTTTGCTGTGAGGAAGGGGAAGCACATAGACATGTCTAGATCCATTTGTCTTTTTATACTTCTGTGTAATTTCCAAAGTTCCTAAACCTTAGACTGAAGTATTTTATTAATTCTAAGTGACACTTTTCAACATGTCAACAGCTTTTAAGTCAAGATGCATCTTAAAATTGCTGTTATGACCTAATTTTTAATTAAAACTCATGTCTGTGGTGCATAAAATGATATATTTTAAAATCAACATCATCTTACAGTGTTGTGAAATAAGGTAGTTTTATAAATAATATAGCATAACATATATACATATACACACATTTATGAATGCATGTAATATAGATGAAGCAACAAATAAAGCTGCAGTGTACTAATCTCAGTTGTTACTAAGAGACTCTAGTTCTCAAATATAGAAATGCCCACTTAACTACAGGCTATAAAAGCCTAGAAACAGACACAGAAGAGGTGTCCCTGACACAGAAATTCTATTTTTCTCATCAAGATAGGCATATCCAGTCACCAGCTATTTTTAGTCACCATTACAGATCACATTCTACAAATCTCCCTTAAAATTTTTCCTGTGTGAAGATGAGCAAAGGAAAGCAAATGATTCTCCACCAATGAAATACCTTAGTTTTGCTCTAATTTTTAAAGAAGTCCATCAGATTTAATTCCTACCATGAAGGAATGAATTATTATAAAAGGAGCCCTCTGGACTATATTCTTCAATTATAATAAGCTCTGATGAACTTCCAGAGATTTATATACATAAATTCAATTGGGAAAAAATCTAGAACTGTCCAGTGGAATTTTTAGAATAAAAGTTTATATGGGTAGTTTCAGACAGTAAAATATCTGATTTTAGTTCAAAACCATGATCATTTTGTTTATCTTGTCAACAGATCACCTTTAACTTAACCTGGGCATACTAGTTAATCTAATATATACTCTTCATAGTACAGCAATTTTCTTAAGGCTGTGACAGACATTAGGAATGAAAATGTATTATGACACTTATTTTTAGGAGAACAGACTGTGTTCTATTCAGACTGTGTTCTGAAGCACGATTCATCCAGATTTCAAGTCATGGAGCTTAACCTCACACCAAGATAAAACAGATATTCTGAGAGAATGTAGGATCTATGAAGATAGGATTTTTGTTCACTACTATGACCCTCCTATAAAGAATAGTGCATCTCGGGCCAGGGATTTAGCTCAGTGGTTCCGTTGCTTGCCTTGCAAGCACAAGGACCCGAGTTCGATCCCTGGTACCAAAAAAAAAAAAAAAAAAAAAGAATAGTGCATCTAATGTGTAGTAAGCACTATATATTTGTTGAATGGATTCATTTTCTTTGCAAATTTCTCAAGTCAATTCAAACTGAGCACCAGAAACCCCAAGCCCTTGTTTTTTGGAGACAGAACCTTGCTATGAAGTCCAGGCTGATGTTGACCTCACTGTTGTTGACCAAACTGGCCTCAAACTCATGATCCTCCTGTCTCAGCCTTCTGAGTGCTGGAATTATAGGTGTGTGTCACCATCCCCAGCTCTAACTTGATTTTTCAAGAAAAAAAACTATGTAGTGTCAGTGTAAAAATTAAAAGCTATAAGGTAACTATTGGTCTTCTGCAGAAAGGATAAACACCTGAAAATAAAAATCCTAATCATCAATGTCTAAATTTGCCTAAGCAGCCAGGCACAGTGGCAAACACCTACAATTTCACCACTTGGGAGACTGAGACAGGAGCATCACTGTGAGTTCAAGGTCAGCCTAGGATAGACAGTGAGTTCAAGACCAAGCAGAACTGCATAAGGAGACCCTGCCCCACCAGACTCTAAAATAATAAATTTGCCTAAACAATCTTAAAACAAAACAAAACAAAACTATTCTTTCCTTAAGAAAACAAAAGAAGCTTAGCAGTAGAACAGGAAAAGAATTAAATCAAAAAAGCAAGAATGGGGGACCAGGGATTTAGCTCAGTGGTTTCACTGCCTGCCTCCCAAGTGCAAGGTCTCAAGTTCGATCCTCGGTATCAAAAAAAAAAAAACAAGAATGTGAAAATCCTCTGTAGACAACATCATTTTTTCATAAATATAACATGACAGGTATAGTCAATGGCTTATATTATAGTCTTTTTTCCCTTGTGTTTCCCATTAGCCCAGATGTTTACAATGTTTCCTTCTAAACACATTTCAATTAATCATTATAGTCTAGCAGTGTTTTCTGAAAGACATTAAGCAATATCAGGCCCTCAAAGCACTGGATCAGATTATTAAACCGTTTATCTTGATGTTAGGTAAGAACTACTAAAAGGGTGGAAGGGGGTAGGGAAAAAAGAGATAATGGCAGTTTTTAGATAGGATGAAAAATACCAGACCCTTATCCCTTACCTTATTAGCACGTATCTGTTTGTAAATATCTGTTTGCTGACGAATTCGATATTCCAAGTCAGAAACATGAGCCTGAAGCCAGTTCCAACGGCTGACAATAGCTGCTCGGTCTGCAGCCCATCTCCATTCTGACCTGCGTTTCCTAAAAGGAAATAAACTGAGTGAAACTCAAGAGCAGCAGTAACATATACCAAGTGGGGTGGGGGGCTGGGTAGGTGGATTTTAACCTCTACAGGACCTTATATAGCCTAAATCTAATGTCAAGGAAAAGTCAAGATGGATATTCAGACGCAGAGACGCACAACCCACTGGACATATGTGGGATAAAACCCTTCATATACTTTCTAAATTAAGAGGAACTACCTTCTGCTACCATAGTCCTAGAGCATAGCATTCCTCTGAAACTTCCTTAACTTCTCTGGAGTATTTTCTATATTTCAAGAATTTAAATGTCAAGAATTTAAATGTCAAGAATTTAGCAAAGATCAACATCCAAACACTGTCAAAAGAGTAGAAAAATATTCCTTTTCCTACAGAAGCACTATTCATAATAACAGCCAAAGCTAATACTATATAAAAATATCTTTATAGATAAAATGATGAAGTCTGAAAGGTATTAAGATCAATGCAAATGGTGAAACAAATTTTTTAGTATGGCCAATTGTCACATATCTTAAATTCAAAGAAACGCCAATGAAATTCTCTATAGATATGTTTTTTGGTGTTATATTTCTTTATTTTTAAATTTTTTCTTTCCACATGGTTTTTAATGGAAGTTGAGAAACAAATCTAGAAGTTCACACAGAAAAAAAGACCAACAGCAAAGACATTCTAAAAAGCATGTTGCAAATCTGAATTTGGTACCAGATACCAAGATTTATTATAAATCTATGACAACTAAGGAAATATAAGATGGACAAAAGACCACTGGAACACAATACACAACTTCAAAACTCAGACTGAATTATTCAATTAACAGTACTGAAATAGTTCTTCACATGTAAGTAAAACTAGTTCCCTCCTTCATGATATAATTCTATGATTTGGGGTTTTCAAAGTGCTACATCTGCACAGCCAAACTTAAAACATAACAGAGTATCTTTGACATGGAGCACAGGGGATAATTTCTAAAATAAGGCACAATCACCACCTAATTTTCCACATACAATAAAAGACCTAATGAACAAAGTTAAAAGCCAAGGTGTTGGCTGAGAGATAAAAATTAAGTATCAGAAATATACAATAGAACTCCAAGATATAGTCACAGGAGACAAACTCAGATAACCAGTAATTATACAAATATATGTCAAATCTTATTAGAATTTAGTTAAAATATTAATGTTAGGTAAAACTTAAGATGCTATTTTAAACCTAGACCAGAAAACCTCACAAGTCTGATAAAACCAGGGTCTGGTAAGAAAACAGCAATTTGTACATTGGTGGTAACAGTTTTAAAAACTGGCACCATCACACTTTTGACAAGTAATTTGGAAATATGTGGCTAGTTGGAAATTATGCATACCCAACCAATATGGAATTCAACTTCTGAAAATGTAACCTTTATATCTGCATGAGCAAACAGGTTCACTGCAGAGTTTGTAAAAATTAACGACATCTAATTCCTATAAAGTGGGTAAGTAAATGAATTTATTGCTTTAAAAATTTTTCCTACAGTAATAAAAACAAAAGTAAGAACGCTATACATCAACATGACTAAATCTCAGAAGACAATATTCAATGGAAAAAAAATCACAGAAGAAAGGCAAGTACTATTTAAAGGTATACACAAATAGTAAACAAATTTATTGAAATACTGTTTAGCAATTTAATGAGAATACCTATATAAATATGGTTACTCTCAACAGTGGAATATGAAAACAAAAATAAACAATAAGAATCATTACAATATAACTAAGCAATAAATGTATGAAAAATGCACATAGAACCGGTAACAAATTCACAATCAAGGGCCTCAATATCTAAGGGAAATGGAAAAGTTGGATTTTAGCTCTACTTATAATGCAATGTTTGACTTCTCTTTAAAAAAATCTGCTAGAAATCTGGTAATATTTAACATTCTTTAAATATTAAAGGGGTTACCTGGTGCCTAGAATATGCATAATTTTGTAATCAAAATATTTCATTTTACAATATCATTTGTTCAGAAAGAAGAAAATCATATTGCCCTTACTTAGTCCCACTTCCAATTACGATATACATACTACTAAAAATTTTAAGTGATTATGTGTAAATCTTTAACATTGCCTACCAACAGGGCAAAATACATTTAACACAAAAGAACATTTAATACAAAAGAACAAATCTGGCCACAGTAGGGTTAGAGATGACTTAATACTTAATCATACCATAGTAATTAAGACCAAAAATACCACAGTATTTTAACTTTTGTAGTGTCCAAACATTAGCCATTCAAATCAACTACCATGATAAAGTATTATCCAATTATCATTTTTTTAAACCATGGTATCTTTACTTCCCTAATCCTGATGAAATTAGTAAACAATAAAAAGATACCCTTTAAATAATTCTATGTTTCAATGTTGGCTACAAGTCTAGTCTAACCCAAATTCAAGAAAACCAGTTCTCCATAGACCAAGAACAACCTAGAGATCACTCTTGAACTATAAACATGCCCCCACCCCTTCTAAAACAGACAAAGCTAGTTAACCTCCATGTCTTGTCTAACTTTCACTACTCTTTGGGGGTGGGGGTGTATCTGGGATCAAACTCAGGACCTTGCGCTTGCCAAGCAGATGGTGGCACCACTGAGCTAAACCCCCAGCCCCGCTACTCTTCATGGTTTACTATTTTCCTATTCCATATTTCTTGGTTTTACGGGTTCCTTTCATCTCTAAAGCCCACCAGGCCTCACCTATCACTGCTGGGCTACTCTTCCCAACACTGGTCAATCATACCTTTCCTAAATGAACTTCCAATGAATAAACTCAAACTTCTATCACTCCTATGTTTAAGGATCACACAAGATGCCCTTCTTTTCAAATCCAAAGTCTTCAAGGATACAATAATTCAAAATGGAGCCAAACATTGTAAAATACAACAACTGAAGCCAAAAGGTGGTAATAAAATTAACACAATTATCTATTTAATGGCAGTTTACTCTCACATTTGTTTTAACAAACTATCAGTAAATAGCTAAAATAAAATCTCACTTATGAAAACCAAAGCAAGAGAAAGATAATTCCTTGGCAAATTTACAGTACTTCCTATTACTTAGTCACCCTAGGTAGATAAAGAATTTGGCAAATCTCCTTCCACTGCTTTCCCAGTGATCCTGAATTTGGCTCCTAAGCAGTCTCACCACAGCCTTCCAGGACAAGTACTACTACAAGCTGGCAAGAAAGATGAAACCTAGTTGTTTAATCTCTGGGTTTAGCCATTTTAACCAAAATAATTATCTTTTTCTTGTTTGGGGGGGGGATAATTGAAAATCATAAAATCTGAAAATACAAAAAAGAAATTCAACATTTTAGCTCACAAGAATTTTGATACATACTCTTTCCTGTGATATTAATTTTTATAACTCTATAAGTATTCTTCTAAATAAAATATAAATGGAACCTCTCGGTAATACTTTTTAGAGGCTGGCCAGTGAACTCATTACCGAAATGCAACAGTAAAGAAATACTACTTACTAGCAAGGGTTTCATTCTATAAACACATCCTGTCTCAAGGTTTGGAATTGAAGAAATTCCCAGTAGAAAACTGTCATACTGTTGTTATTCTATAATGTCTAAATTCTGTTGGTAATGAAAAATGGAAAACCTCATCCGAAGCGTCTATAAAGTATTTTGTGTGCAACACAGCAGCAATATGCACGGAAAGCCACCAAGCTGTAAGCAAAAGTAAGCAATGTGTAGTTAACAACTGGGGAGCTGATATTACTACATTCTAGTGACAGAGCAGAACACCAAATATTATTACAAGAATAAGAGCTCATCTTACATTTTTTCCTTAACAAAAACAAACCATAAAGTCTGTCAAAAGTAAAGGCAGGGCCGGGGATTTAGCTCAGTGGTTCCACTGCCTGCCTCGCAAGCTGAGGACCTGGGTTCGATCCCCAGTACCAAAAGGGGCAGATTTCCCCCCTAATATTTGAAATGTAAATACAGTACCAATATCCGCTTTTGTGATACTACATAAATAATACAGTTTAATGTTGATAGCTATGTGTCAGTGTTGGTTTCTATAAGAAATATTTGCTGCATATAAGAATTTCTTTCTTTCTTCTTCATCCCTTTCTTTCAATTATGTGAACTTCAACAGTTCCCTTTACAGATTAGTAGAATGTCACCATATTATCTGGGACTCAGGACATTCTTTGATCCAAGAATACAGAGTATTTACTTAAGCAAAAGCCATTTCCCCTTTAAAAAAAAAAGCTTTATAAACACCCTGAAACCATATAGGGGAAGGTATTTTTTCCTTACAAATTTAATGTTCAGCTTACACACTGGCTAATGTGGCAAACAAAAAAAAAGAATTGATTTTTTGTTTTTTAAATATTGTTTTTATTCTTTAAAATCACCTCAAATGATACTGTTAATGGAAATGGTTCATTAAAAGACCACAGACAGATCAACATAGCGACTTTATGTAAGGAAATTTAGCCTCTTTTAAACGTGGGGCCGAAGCTACTTTTATTTTAGAAGAATTTATACATTAAATCATCAAAGGTGTTAATGAAAAGATCTTTTGAATTTTACCGTGAGGAAATATTTTGAAATTACTTAGCTCAGAGATGACTGCCATTAATTTTGCTAAAAGCAGTAAAGAATGTAATTTATACTAACGAATAAAAAAAAGAATTTGCACTATGAATTCAAACATATCAATTCTGTGCTTTAAAAAAAAAATCCTTTGTACTTTATGAAGCCTGTCCTAAATGCCTACAGCACTGCTACAGATAGCAGTCAGTGGTAGATACAGTAGTTGTTCTTTCTCAGAGATAAATTATAGCAAAAGCTACTGATTTATCTAAAGTAACATCAAAGCTGGGTATAGTGGCACATGCCTATAATCTGAGTACCCTGGGAGGCTAAGGCAGAAAGATCTCAAATTTGACCCCAGCCCAGGCAATTTAGCAGCTTAGCGAGATGCTGT